GCCCTCGGCCCCCGGCGGCCGCGAAAGGGTGCGGGAGACGCGGAGCAGGAGGAGGAGGCGCAGCCGCTGCCCGAGCCGCAGCCGCAGCCGCAGCCGGAGCCCGAGCCGCGGGGCGGGCGCGAAGATGCACACGACCCAGAAGGACACGACGTACACCAAGATCTTCGTCGGGGGGCTGCCCTACCACACCACCGACGCCAGCCTGCGCAAGTACTTCGAGGTCTTCGGCGAGATCGAGGAGGCGGTGGTCATCACCGACCGGCAGACGGGCAAGTCCCGGGGCTACGGATTTGTAAGTTGCGCGGCTGGGGGCTGGGGGAGGGAGACGTGGGGGCGACCCAGAGCCCGGCGGGGAAACCGAGGACCGCGGGGGAGGAGAGGCTCTGGGCGGCGCAGGGCCTTGGGGGTCGGGGTTCGCAGCGGGGGGTTGGGGGGGTCGGCGTGACAACGCGAGGAACCCCGCGGACGCGGGCGGCGCTGCCCCTTTGCCCCCGGCTGAACTGAAAGTTTGCGCGCGGCGTTGCAGGGGGAGGGAGGGCCGGCTCCTGCCTCGCGGGGTTCCGAGGGGATCCAGCGCCCCGCGGTGTCAGGGGACGGGCGGAGCGGGGGTGGAAGGAGAGAACTAACCAGTGCTGGGTTTGCGGGTGCGCGGGGTTGGGAGGGAGGGGCCGCAGCCCCTCGGAATCGCCCTCCCGGGTTGGAGGCCGGGCGTTAAGCGCGCTGTTGGTTTGTAAAAATGCGTGTGTCTTCAGGCGTTCCGGTTGGGGCGGGGAGGGGACACCCCAGGAGGTCTAGGGCTCTACTCCTGATGCCATCCCCCCCCCCACCACCACCACACACACATACTTTTTTTAAAATGCAAAGATGGGTTCTTTAAAACGATGATCCTGTGGCTCTTTGCTGAACTGAAAGAGAGCATATTAAGCCCCCTGGGGATTTAAGCGTGCAAATTCAGCTGCCGGAGAGCTGGGAGCTCCAGCGTAGGACAATAGCTATTGTCGTTAAGGAGTGCTTGCTGGTGGTTGGGAGCACCCGGCGGATGTGACTCTGGACTTTCTTTAAAGCAAACAGTGCCTCCTAGGCTGGGTAGGGAACCTGGGCGGGGTGGGGGGCGGTTGAGGGAGGGAGGGAGGATCGAAGAGTTCTAAGATGGAATTCAGGCTTCCGACTCCCTGCTAGGCCCTGCTAGCACCCTTGGGGGTGTGGAGAGGGGCTTGTTTCTTCCTTCCTGTTTTCTTTTCATTCTTCTTTTCTGTTTTCTTTTTTTTTCTTTCTTTTTTTTTTCTTTGACGGGGGATCAAGGAGTAAATTCCAGCAAAAGAAAAAAAAAGAAAGTTTAAGAACCCCCTTAGTTTTATCATGAATGACTTCTCCATCGTGACTATTGGTTTCCTTCAGGGGTTGATTTAAGGCTTTGTATGTGTGTCTGTGTGTGTATGTTGCTAAGGTCACCATGGCTGACCGAGCTGCTGCGGAAAGAGCTTGCAAGGATCCCAACCCCATCATTGATGGCAGGAAGGCCAATGTGAATCTGGCATATTTGGGAGCAAAACCAAGGATCATGCAACCAGGTGAGAGATGTCCTTCCTCCCCTCCTCCCCTTCTCCCCCCAACTTGGGACACCCACTTCTGAATAGAATGAAGACGTGGCCGGTGTGTTCAGTAAAGTGGAACCATGGCTAGGTATTATACCAAGACATTAAATGAGAGTCGTAAACAGCTCTTGAAGGAAACATACATTGTGCAAACATGAATCTTGGGGGTCTAAGCAGTTTGTACCCACCCAGACTTAGGCTTGACTCCTCTGTTTCAGGTATGACATACAGTCAGTCCGTGGACTCTATTTTCCAGTTTTCAGCCACTTGTAGATAATTCGCGTGTGGATCGTGGGGGCCAAATGTGGCAACTCCAGCAGGTTATCCTTCCCTGCTTAGTGTTGTCTCTCCTACCACCGGTTGACCTGTGCCCAGAGTGGGAGATCCAACCCAAAGCACTGACCCAAGAGAAGCATAGGGGTGAGGGTGGTGTCTCACCCTCTCACATAAAATCACAGACTATTAGTAATTTTAAAAAATGGGGAAATGTCATGTACTTCTGGACCCTCGTGTTGCAGATAAAGACGCTGACACTTAGAGATGGGAAATGTTTTATTCCAACGTCATGCAGCTAGCAGCTATCAGTGGGCAAGCAGGCTTTTGTCCATGTGAAAATTTGACCTTTTGGATTATTTACAACACTGCCCTTTGCCTTAGCACACATAATTAAGAGCCGAACTATTGACCAAATGGTAATCTTTTTCTTGGGTAAGCAACTTTGTTTCATTATATCTTGTTCTCTTCACTCAAATCTTTCCATCTGAAATTTTGGAAAGAGGTTGACACTTTCATGCAAATGGATTTGCTAGGATATGAGATTGTCAAGAAAGTGAGTGCATGTGCCAATATCTGTGAACATTCAGAAACACGTGTTTGTCTGCGTGTGTGCTATCCAGAAAAGGAGACTTGGTTTGGGGGAATTTTTAATACCATAATCCGTAAAATCTGTAATCTTCCAAAGCATTGTCCAGCATGTTCTAAATTAGACTTTTTACGGATCATGATTCAGAATTGCAGGAATATTTGTGACTTATAACTTCATTATCAAGTCCTCTTGTGTCTGGTTTCATTCCACAAGAATTTTTCCCTGGTCTAATTTTCTAAGGTCTTACTGTATGATTGTCAACTAAACTTTGCAGATAATTTTTAGTGTCCACTTGTAGCCTATTAAAATTTGGCGGGGGGGGGATCAATGATAACATTAATAAAAAGGACATATATATATGTATATATATGTTTATAAGTTATATATATATACTGTACTTTTCTGTAAAGTATCCAAAGAATGGTTATCTTTTCTAAGTGAAAGTTGTGATTGCATTTTATATGTAGGAGGAATAAATGCCTAACCATGCACAAATCGAGAATGTGGTCTGTTTTATTGTTAGGTTTTGCCTTTGGTGTTCAACAACTTCATCCAGCCCTTATACAAAGACCTTTTGGGTAAGTCCATGAATCCAGCCCTCCTAAGTTTTGATAGCTATCATTGGTTAACCTGCCTCTTTGTTATATACAGACAAGACCATCATGTCACAGAACGTTCCTTGTGATACTATTTATATATGTTTGTATATTTTTGATGCTGATAATATATTTTTAGATGAGTCAAGTTACTGACCAAGTACGCAGCCTCCCAACCAGACAAATTTTGAGCTTATGATTAACAAAACAAAACAAAAGTACCAGGTATGACTTGTGTACGAGACGATTGTGTCCCGGCACTGTTACTGCTGTTCAACTTGACTCAATTTGATTTATCTCTTTCTAACCTGACAGGGCTCGTACACAGTTAAGCTAACTGATCAGAAGGATACGATGATAAAAGGTGGAATAGTTCTGTTTGGAATTAAACTCTGTAACCAGTAGACTCAGACACACAAGCTCAGATGGTGATTAACGATGCATGGATGTTGGTGTTGGTGTTTTCTTTTTCACAATAGTCAATAGACCTCCGTGTGCTGTATTTTATTTATTACAGTAATGAAGTGTTGATAGCTAAACTGTGTGCTTTTTACTTAATTGAAAAGAGCTGTAGTGAAAGTGTTTTCTTTTCCTCGGGGAAGGGGCTCTTTGTGGTTTTGATTTTGGTGGTGGTGTTGAGGAGTGTTGACTTTTGACTTTGCCATGGGAAGCAAAGGGCCTTTTTTTTTTTCTTGCTTTTAAGCTATAGCCTGTGACTTCCACTTAACCATATTTTTGTAGTGAGTGCTAAATTGTGTGATTTCCCTCTGTAAGAATACAGATTCATCGCTTGCATGTCCTAAGTTTCTGTTTTACTGGGGAGTTTTCTGGGAATGGGGTTCTTTCTTTTGCAATGTGTATCCACTTTTAGGCCTTCTAATTTAAAGGTTCAGCAACACTCATCAGGTTTCACGGACGCTAGCCAGTTTTTTTGAGTCACGCAGCACTCACTTTTCACCTTTCGGACCCTAACTCAGTTGAACAGGCTGCTCATATTTGTTGTCTCTCTGGGCTCTGGGGTTTCCAGCTGTTCTCATCCGAGCTCCCTTATTTCCCTTCCATTCAGACATCATTAAGCGGGTGACCCCCCCCTACCACCTAGATGTAGGCAGACCACTTAGAGTCTGTGTTGGCTGTATTCTACCTGAGGGACACTGCTGGGACTCTAGTGCCACAGACTTCAACTTCCTTTTTAAATATTCTAACTGTTCAAGGAGTATTTTATCCTCAGCTATAGTTTCTTCTCTGGCTTATCACCTAAGTATCTATATGTGTAACCTGGAAGGTCAGATTCCATCTACATAGATAGATAGAGTTCTACCACATGTGAATCCAAGAGTAGCCCAGGACAAGTAATCATCATTTGACTTGGAAAGGTCAAGTTATATTTTCCATGACCACCTTCTTATAACCCTCCCTTTAACATATGGATACTTCACCTTACCACCGTTACTTTTTTAAACTGAGGAAGAGTATTATTTCCATTATGATGAGAAAGGGCCTTCATATATCCATAGCTTTTTATCAGATGCCTCATCCCAACCATCCTGGACACTGACAACGCATTGTGGGTTGATGGGTCCAGCTGCTTCTGTGGGTTCTCCCCCTCATTGGTCTAGACCTTGTGTAAGGTGGGATTGGGGAGGAGAACATACATATTAAGAAGTGATGATGAACTGAGTCATGATCTCATAATAAGATTCTTGACACAGTTATATAGCTAAATCATCAACAGGTATTAGCATGTTGTTGTGTTTCTCCTGTGCCAAGTGGGTGATACAAAACAGGGAGAATGTAGTTTGGGAAGCAAAACTAACACAAGCCAATCAAGAACTATTAATTGCTAAATTACTTGGCATTGTTTTAAGGACAAAAGGAATTCAGAATAGCAAGAAAACAGGTGAATTGGAGGGGTTGGACAAGGCTTCATGGGACTTGACCTAGTCTCGGACCAGTGGGTGTGTCCTGGACAGGTAAGAGGAAGAAGGGACAAGCCTGAGGGGTATAGGATGAAGCGAGCATAAGCACAGGGACAGAAGAGAAAAGATTTAGTGCGTTGGGAAACCAGACCATTGATGGAGGGTCTTGGGAGCCAGACCTAGAAATCTGGACTGGCTGTGGTAGTCTGCATAGATCCTTGAGAAAGAAAGTAGTGTGAGGAAAATAAGAACAACCAGAATAAAATGTCCTATGGAAAGTTTAAGTCAGGCATGCTTTGATAGTGATGTTTTGTTTTTCATCCCTGCTAATATGAAGCTGTCTTTATAAAGGATGGTGATTATTACTGTTTGCATAAATTGTTTGAACTTGAGATTCTTATTAGAAATAGATAGCATTCCACCAGGTGGACCAAGTGAGTCCTCTCTTTTCTGTTTTAAAGGGTTCTTAACACCGCTCTAGTTCCCAGAGCCTGTACCCAACAAATCACACCTGGTCATTCTAAATTCTGTTTGAATGCCACATGTTCTTATTTTAGGCCTGGAAAGAAGCTTGAGAATTTTTAATCTTCCTTGTTTGAAATTCTAGCATCTGAACTATTTTTCTTTATGTGGTCCTTAAATGGCCCCCAGATTACTCTGGGCTTTTCAAGGGAAAACCTTGGCTTGAAAGAATTTCTGATATGACAGAGTGGGCAGATGTGTAGAAACGTGTACATTTGCTAAACAATATCTTATATATTTTTTTTCTGTTTGAAAGAAGTGTTTTCTTATTGAAGATAAGAAAGGAAGGATTATGGGTCTGTGAGTAGAAAATTCTAGGGTAGGGGCGCCTGGGTGGCTCAGTCAGTTAAGTGCCCGACTCTTGGTTTCCACTCAGGTCATGATCTCACGATTTGCGAGTTTGACCTCCACATCAAGCTCCACGCTGATGGTGCAGAGCTCGCTTGGGATTCTCTCTCACTCTCCCTGCCACTCCCCTGCTTGTGCTCTTTTTCTCAACATAAATAAACTTAAAAAAAGAAAATTCTAGGCTAGGTTAGATCAGGTTGAAATACCCTTAAACATTTACTCAGTGTACCTTTAAGTGCTGAGTTTTAGGCCAGTCGTGTGAACGCTGTACTAGAGACTATACTGTCCAGTAAGGGAGGCAGGGGAGACAGTACCATTAAGTGAACATCTGCTGTACGACCCAGTTCTAATAAAAGATTTACGTAAGTCATATAATAGAATTCTCAATACTTATTTGATGCAGGCTGTTCATGTCAGCCTGTTCAAATGGCCTTTCCATGGGTGAAGGAACTGTGATACAGAGACGTTAATTAACTTCCCACAGGGCTAGTAAGTCACAGAGTCTGGTTTCCAGGTTCAGAATCATGGTTTCCCTGACCTCCCTCAAAAGCGGTGTTCTTTCCTCTGTGTCAAGCTACAGCCAAAAAAGACACAGTTCCATTCTCCCTTGTACTCTGGTAAGAAAACTTGAAAAACCCCCAGAAGGGTTGTGGCTTCAGACAGGGAGGAGAGACAGCAGGTTAGTGGGACCCAAGAAGTCTTCATGGTAAAGGTGGAAGTTGACCTAGATTTGGAAGGATGTTGGAGGATGCGGTACTCTTGTATGGAGTGCCCACTTTTTTCACCATTGTTAGGCTCTTTGCGTAGATAATGTTATTTAATGCACGGCAGCTCACGGTTAGAAATACTAGATTGATTTCACGTTTGAGAAAAGTGAGACTAGAAAGTGAAACAAATCCCCGAAGGCTCCATAGCTGGTGAGTGCTAGAGCTAGGGTGGAAAGGACTTGGATTTCAACAGGTGGAGATGGCAGTGACGATTGGCATCCCCAGCAAAGGGACAGCGTGAGCAAAGGTGAGGATCTAGAAACGTGGGGCATGTCCAAGGAGCACTGAGGAGCTCAGCTGACCTGGATCCAAGGAAAGGTGGAAAGAAATACTGGAAGAAATAATTTGGAGCCAGAAGCATGAAAAGCCTAGCATGCCAACGTTTCAGAAATTTGCAGTTAGTTTGGTATGACCTTAGGGGCCACGGAGTCCTATGGACAAGTGAATGAAATGAAGACTTTGCCAGCAGTCTGGTGATAGATTGGAAGAGGAAACCAGTTAGGATGTCCAAAGTCACGAAGAGATGTCAGAGGGACCTGAAAAAGAAGGAATGATGTAGTCCATTTTCTTTGGAAATTGCCCGAGGTATCTGCCTTGCCCTTGTGCTTTCCTCACCTTAGCTAGGGACGCACACGGTACAACTGATTGAGGGAACGGACACCGGTAGATATCTAATTGGGGGAGATTCCCAGATCACCTTCGTGGACTCCTCAAACTAACAAAAGCCCTCCTAATGCAAGATCCTTTTCAGAAGCATCACCTTTCCCTTCAGTCCTTTCCTGCTTTCCTTCCTGAATTGAGATATTTTAGGCTCTCCGTGGTCTCCTGGGTTCTCCTTCTCCTAAGCCTCTAACAATTCTGGGGTCCCGTGTGCCTTCCAGACATATTCCTAACCCTTGCCAGACTTCATGTTGGATTCTGATAGTCCAGGGAACTCTACACTCTCATTGGTTGGCATTATCAAATGAAAGCTATTAATGTGAAATCAGTGCAGAGACAAGAGTCCCGTAGGAAACGCTGCTTATCTTTAGTGCATTCTAAACACACACACGCACGCACACACATTTTTATCTTGCCTGTTTGTAGGCTAAACTTATTTTCCGTCACCACCTTCATTCAAAGATAGGACCCTGGTCACCATCATGTTGTCCTCAGAGCTTTGGGAGTACAGGGGTTAATGTTTCAGTATCAGTGAGATTCATACTGGCTGGCCTCTGCTGCTGATAGATGTTTTACTTTGGCCTTATAAAGACATTTTACCCGCTGGAAACCCTTGTCGCATGACAGGATCAAAAATAGCCCTGCCACAGCCCCTGCTGTCCATCACCACATGTAAACTGGCATGAGAGGGTAGGCTCTCTTAGCCGTGTCTGCACATTGTGGACACGGAGGCCTCCAAGGACAGGGTTTCATAAAGCCACACCTGTCGCTGTGAGGGAGCCAGTCACCTGACCTACAGGCAAGTTTTGAGTATGTGCATGACCGTGCGTCTGGTTTCTGACAAGCAATTAAGAACATGTCTAAGTGTCCTCAGAAACACTTGATGACGTCGTTTCTCCTGGCACTGGGAAAGAGCTGGGAGTCTAGTAAAATTGAGTGTATTTTTATCATTGGGGTCAGAGTTCACCACCCTCTGCGATAAATTCATCTTTTCCATGGATGTTCGTTAATAAGTACTTTCAGTAAAACTCCGAAAAGGCAAAGCAAAGTCTGTTTTCGAAAATCTCAATGTGAAGTTTTCGGCGTTGAGTTCTTTAAAATTCTTTAAAGATTGTTAACTGTTGCTTGTACTTCCTGTAAGTTGGCTTTGCCCACAACCAGATGGCATCATAGTGTCATATTTTTAGAAATATAGGGGGTTTTCGATGGAGATTGCTTTAAAGAAAGATGAAAATAAATCAGATATTCATGGTAGCATTTGAAAGGGGCAGTAATGAATCGCAAGAGTGAGAGCTGAAATGCATGGTGTTTTTTTAAATACCTCTTGTGATTTATTTTTTTTAACCAAATTAACTTTTAAGCAAGATCGTTGGGAGTGTGTCTTGATGTGATCTCTGAACGTATCATTTTTAAAGGGACTTGATTTTGTTTCTTGAACTTTTACAGGATAATACATAATACCATTGATTCGGATCAACTATGTATGAGTAGGGGCAGATGTAAAACAAATACGCCAATCTATTGGTTGATTTGGAAGATGAAACGAGTATTTGCACACAAACAAATATTTCCTTACTCATTTTATTATGTGAACCTTTTAAGTTTGTATGAATTTTGGAACTATTTAGTTGTGTTTCCCTATTCCTACCTTTTCCCTCAACCTCATCATTTCCCCAAAACCCCTTCTGTCTGTCTTGCATAGAGATAAACAAGCTGGCTGACCTTCAGGTGCCTGATAGTCAAACAGGTTTGATTGACCCTGTGTCCTTATGAATTTTACGGAGAGAGAGAGAAAGAAAGGCAAAAAGCGTGCTGCACATCTCTTTGGGAATCACTGCCGTGAATGTTAATAGCATTTCTGTAGCTTCCCACAACAGCCTCTTGTGATAGAGTGAGCTGCACTACAGTTCGTTTGAGAAGTGTGATTCTGCTGTGTTTACCACACTTGTGAACTTTTAAACTCCTTTTTTTTATTTTTGTCGCCTGCTTCTTTTATCATTATTATTTTTAATAAGGGTGACTGAGGTTGCAGAGAGATTAATGTGTGCTGAGTCTGCATAGCAATTTCAAGTAGGGTTGCCATGATAATAAACATGTGGATTTTGTGGAAATTTAATGTGGGGAACTCGGCCAACCCCCCCCCCCCGCCCCTCCACCTACGGAATTGGACGATCACAGACTACCTCTGGAGTCCTATAGTCACAGCTGAGAATTTTCCTATTTGCTACGCAGTCTTATGAACCGATCACAAAATTCTCCAAAGCCTTCCTCAATTTAGCAGGTGTTAAATACCTCTCATGTGCGTAAGCCCTCATGAACCTCGATTTAGTCTGCAAACTTCTGCCGAATGATCGAAGTATTGGCCCTCGAAACGATCATAACTCAAACTTGGCAGCAGGGAGGGGTGTCATCCGATTTTTGTCGCTGAAGTCCTCTCGGGGCGCTCCGCGCCTCCGGGCTACCGCCCGAGCGCTCCGCCCCGACCACTGGAAAGGAGATATTGTGGCAACCCTATGCTCGTAATAACCACTAAATCGGAGTCTGTCTGATCTCTGAACGAGCCGCGCTGGCGGGCGGGAGGCGAGCGGCGCCTGACTCGGTGTCCCGTTTCTCCGCAGGATCCCCGCCCACTACGTGTACCCGCAGGCTTTCGTGCAGCCCGGCGTGGTCATCCCGCACGTGCAGCCTACCGCGGCCGCCGCCTCCACCACCCCCTACATCGACTACACGGGCGCCGCGTACGCCCAGTACTCGGCGGCCGCCGCCGCCGCCGCCGCCGCCGCCGCCTACGACCAGTACCCGTACGCGGCGTCGCCGGCCGCCGCGGGCTACGTCACCGCCGGGGGCTACGGCTACGCCGTGCAGCAGCCAATCACCGCCGCCGCCCCCGGC